TGGGAACCGGTTCTCAACAAGAACCGGTTTTCGATACCCATCCCTAAATCCAGGTGATATATAATATCTGATCAGGTATGATATGGTGTCACTTGCACGTATTTTCGCTTTTTTCTCTGTGTCTTTAGTGTTGGTAATTGTGACGTCTTTGTTGTTGTGGTTTTATTTGTCTGACAGCTTCCACGAGGCACAAAAGAAATGTCTTTCTCTGTGGGCCTCAATAATAATGATAATGATCAGATTAGTGCTGATGGTGTGCTTCGATTTTAGTCCTCAGAGATGCAGGTAAAAAAAAGTTTACAGGAAATGTTCTTGGTGTCGGTCCTTGTAGACTGGGTCAGGACAACATGCTGTGGTGTGACTGCGAATCAGCTGCCTTCAAAAGTGTTTTGTCTTGTGTTTTAATAACTCTTCAAACTCCCCCAATAAATGTTTATCCATCATGACTTTGAGCACCTTATTTCCCAACGGGTCACCACAGCGGACAGGTGCGACTGGTTGATTTGGCACTTATTTTCACCCTCCCATTTATCCAGGTTTGGGATCAGCGCTGGGAGTACACTACTCCATTTAATTTGGAACCACTGTACCTCACTACACAAAACAAAAAAAGATGTAAAAACAATATAACAAACATATTGGACAATAAAGACGAGAAAATGAAATGAGCAAACCCAGTCTGGACTATGATGAAACCAAACTGAATTATAAATGACAGAGGAATTAAATCTTAAAGAAACAAATTTCCAAATGTAAAACACTTCAAACTCTGGGCACCGCCGCAGGAAAAGAGGTGAAGCAGAAAGAGAGCGCTGCATTAATTTATAAAATTATTACTTTTAAAAAAATCATGTAACTACAATATACTTGGGGACAAATGCACATTTTATTTTGTGTCAGTTACAGTTCCTTTAACCTTTTGCAGGAGGTGGTCCAGAGACTGTTTGATGAAGACGAAGAAGAGCAGAGCGCAAATGTGACAGAAAAAGATTGCGAGCAGCGACCAGTTCAAGCCTCAGCTGTGAGAATTTGAAGCGACCGATCCACATTAAATTAAGTTCTTCTGATTAAAGTAGTAGCTTAACAATCAGTGTATTTTTGTTTTCTATTCATGTCTCCAGAGTAAATCTCACTGTGACAAAGAGGAGGAGAAGAGCAGGACCAACGATGATGAGGAGGAGGAGGAGGAGAAGTTAGTGGGAGAACAGATGTTCTTGCAGGCCCAGCACAGAGAGTCTGTTATCTTTTTCTCGACGGGCAAAAAGTTGTTCAGAGTGCCGCGTTTAGAGAAGCTGGGGGACTCCGCTCTGCAGGATCAGTGCGCTCCAGTTTCACCAGAAGAGCGAAAGGGGCTGCCAGTGCACGGCGAGGTGCCGGCTGTGCCAGGACCGAGCTGTAAGATCAACCCTGCTGTTCAGCGCCCGCACAGAGGTAACTGATCGATCACACTCCCCTTAACCTCTTGAAAGCTGACTCGGAGTAACCATTGAAGCTGTTTTCTGAACCGAGTGGTTTCGTGGTGTGAAAACCACAAGTGTCGTCTTTATGGAGAAAGGGTTGTGTGACATTTATTAAAGTGTAGACTAAAAGTGAGTGCCAGGAGAAAAAGAACCACGATATTTGATTTAAAAAGTGACAAAAATTGACACAATTTTCCTGCTATTAAATAATTCGATTCTTTAATTAATTTTTACGAAGGCTGCAGATATTTATTTTTTTTCCTGTCACAGATCTCGTTGGTCAGAAGACTTGCTCTGTGAGTTCTGCAGTGTTGATGTTGCGCAAACGTTTTCCTCCCCTGGAGGAGCTGCGTTTGGACGAGGAGGTGGCCACCTACACATCAGCGTCTGTCGGGGCTCCCCCTGGGTTTGCTCCCCTTCGACCTTCCTGTGGAAACCCTCTGGCCTCCATTTTGCACTTTGAAGAGTCCACTGTAAGTGTAGCTCTGACAATCTGCAGTGTAACAAACTTTATATCACTGCTTTATGGTTTGTTCTTTTCTTTTTTTTTTATTGAATTGAAAATACCAGCATGCTGTCGCTCTGCCTGAGTGGGTTCTCTCCAGGTACTCTGGCTTTCTCCCACAGTCTTAAGACGTGTGTGTTAGGTTAAGTGGCAACTCGAAACTGGCCGTAGGTGATAGTGAGTGTGTGTGGCTCCCTATCCATGTCAGCTCTGTGATGGACTGGTCACCCGTCCAGGGTGGACCTCATGTTTTGCTCTATGACAGCTGGACTAGAGCAAAAGTGCAACCCTGAACTGGATCAAGGTTGAGTGGATGGATGGAAGTATTCAGTTCAGAGTGTGCTTCTAGAGAAAATGATAGTTGGCAGAACAACACAGGTTCAGATTTTTGATTTATTGTGACTTTTATTCAAATTATTCCATTTTGAAAAGCCAAGAAAAGGGAAACCATGATGGTACAAACATAAAAGAAATAGACCCTGCACAACACAGGTGATGTTGCAGCAGGGATCTGAAGGTGTCATAGGGGATCATCTTATTGTTAGGGTTGTCTGCAGGCTCTTTACCTCACTATCTCAGTATGTAAAGCGCCTCGAGGCGACTTGTTGTTGTGCATTGGTGCTGTATAAGAGTGGAAAGGAAACAGACGCCACAGAGGAGTAGTTGTTCTCTGTGGAGGACACGTGGCCTTGCAGCTCTAGCATCTACACAGATAAGTGGATGTTCTCACAGAGGCACAAAGTCACCTTCTGAATTGACTGAAAAAGTTAAATAAACAGAAAGACCAAAGTAAACGATCGCGCTCTGAACGGACACACTATAAACACAAAAGAAAAGGCGCTCTCAGTCGTACGTTGGCTCTCCAAACTACTGCTTATCATAAAAACTCAGAGAAGCCATAATCTGGAAGAAAATTCTGAAAGGAGACACGTTTTGTTTTCATCTGTTCACACAGTGCAGATGCTGTAGTCTCACACTGATCCTATGCTGCATGCCACTAAACAGGTTTTGGTGTTTGCCTGTAAACAACATTCACCACCTCTTCTTTTGTTTATAGCATAGAATCAAAGCCTTTTTAAGTATCATCAAAGAGTCGCTACGCTTTATTTCAGTGCATTCTTGGTTGGATGCTGTTCTCTGATCATTTACGTGAACATTTCAGCTTAACGGTCAGTTTAATAGACCGACAGCGCGCATGTTTTGGAAATGTGGTGGCACAGAAAAGCTCAAATGAAGACCCTCTGGAACATGAATAAAAGTTTTAAAGCAATGATAATGATCAGTTATAGAAATATATAATATTTGGCGGTTTGATTATTGGGTGTGATAATTATGCACAAATCAGTTGGAGATTTCACCCTCGGTGTACAAATAACTGTTGCAGCAGTGTATGAAGCTCAAGATATCTTAAACGAAGATCAATCCATCTTTATTTCAGACTCAGTGGTCCAGGAAAAAACAAAGGTACATTAAACACGTCATTATTTTCTCACAAACAGACAGCTGTACCAGTGCGTCCATATTAAAGATCAGTGATTTGCTGAACACACATTAATCTAAGAAGCATTAAGCTAAAAAAAAAAAAAACACATTTACAGACGAGATAATAGAGCTTTAAATGTGCTGAGTCCACTCTCTCTTCAGTAATAATCTTACGGCATCATTATCGCATCATTATTATCATTAGTTTCCACATGAAGAGTGGCGTAAGAAGATGTTTGCTTGTGCATTTGTATCATTTTCCCGTAAACATCTTCATCATCTGTCGTTCGATCTGTAATGACGTGTCTAAGATATGCGAGCTAATTACAGAAAATCGGGTAATCTGATGAGCATGTGTCCTCTGTGGTTTTACACATCATTATAAAACCCCAATTCCCAAAAGATTGGCACGCTGTATTGTAAATGACAACAAAATGCACTGGTTTCCCAGCACAGGCGATGTCAAACATTTAAATTGAGATAATGTCTGTTTTTAAGCAAAGTCTTTGCTCATTTTGAATTTGAAGGCAGCAAAACGTCCTAAAAGTTGTGACGAGGCAACAAAAGGCTGGAAAAGTTAGTGGTGTTTAAAAGAAACAGACGTTTAGGTTAATGTGCAACAGGTCAATGACTTGATTGGGTTTAAAAATAGCATCTCGGAGAGGCAGAAGTTCAAACTGCATCGACAAATTGTGGAACAAATTCAGAAAAATGTTCATCAGCATAAAATGATGAAGACTTTGAATATCTCATCATGTACAGAACTTAATATCATTAAAGGATTCGATGAACCCAGAGAAATCCAGGCTGAAAATCTGTTATTGGATGCCTGCGATCTTCGAACCCTCGGTGCTGTCAAATTTAAAAATAAGCTAATATGTTCCTTAAAATGTTGAGTTTTCTTGAGAAATGGAGAGCACCTACTTTGTTGTTCCCTCATAGAAACTTGTGTAGAAACAAATACGAGTCCAATTTATAAGCTTCAGAAGAAAGCTATAAGAATTATAAATGGATTAAGGTTATTATTCACCAATTACACATTACTAATTATTTATTAAACTACATTAATTCACACTTTCTCACCCTGCACACGTGATGTACAAAATGATCTACCTCCAAACTGTATTCACGGGTTGTTTAAACCATATTTGAAAAAAGTACAGTTCAGGACGATTTACAGGTGTACGTCTGCAGTAGGGACACAGTAAGACGAGGTAAATAAATATTAAACTGTCGACATTTGCTTTATTTTTATCTTGTTTGGTTTTGCTGTGTAAATGGAATAAGGTGTAATTTTCTATAGCACGAATTGAACCTTTTAGTCAGTTTGTGCTACTAATTTCAGTTCTATTTGTCTGTTGTTGTTTTTTCCTTCTGTAGCTGATGTAAGATTTAAAGCACTTAACACTGACCACAATAAGACTCTGTGTGATGCGAGTGCTGCACAGAACACTCGGACATCAGGACGGCAGCTTAAATATTCTCTGTGGTCGGATGTGTTTGATGTGCACAACACAGTCAGAATAAATATTTGTCTTGATTTTGTTTTTCAGAGATTTGTCCCAATTGGCTCCGATCTCTCGTCTGGTCCGCCTTCTCCGCTGCAGGACAGTTGACTTGCACCACAGTTGCAGTGTTTGCTTTCACTGTGAAACGCCGCTGACTTCACTTTACAAATATTTGTCGAACACTGACGCCGCCAGGTCAATGGCTGCTCCAAAAAGAAAAAGGGTATATCTAAATTATACTGTTTTTCTTTCATAACTACAGACACTTGTATGTTTTTAATAAAGTAGATTAAAAGTTATCTTTTTGGGACCTAGGTCCAATGTATGTGTTGGAAAAAATATTTTTTTAAAAGGTCAATGAAGAGTCCACACCAGATCAGTGCTGTTGGCTGTAGTGTACATGTGGATCAATGGTTAGGATCTCTGTGATGTACAGTGTTTATAATAAATAGTTGTTACTGTCTGGCCATGTGTGGTTTGTTTGTTTGTTTTAAGCACATACACAATTTAAGATTTGTTGATTTATGGGAAGTAATCTCAGGATTTGACCCCATGATAAAAACGAACTTTGAATAGTGTCAGACAAATATTTGTTTCATGTCTTTACCTTCAGTTATTTCATGTTTGTGAAGGTGATGCTTTAAGTTTGGTTAAGATTGACAGTTTGCTATATTTTAGAGAATTAAGTAGTGGCGCTATGGTGCAGAGGTTTGCACATTCGTTTAATGCCACAAAGATCCTTAGTTTGGTCCCGGGAGGAGACACAAATCCCTTTGAAGTTGTGTCAGGTAGAATGTAAAAGTCTCCCAAATCACACATCCGGAGCTACCTGCTGTGCTCCTGTGAATAAGAGAGCTGCTGAAATCATCATTGCCCCACTCACATGTAGCACTGAGATATGGAAACGACACTTCAGTGATGCAAAATATCATACCGTCTTGCATTCTGCACTTTATTTCTTGGCCAGATATAAAGGTCAACCATTTTTCTAGAAACATGCAAAGCATCCTGTTCAGTCATGTGATGAGGTGTCCTGTTAGGAGTTATGGAGTAATATATGAGAAATGTAGCCAGCTGCTGAATCACCTCTGCTCCCATGGGCTGATTTCATCCCCGTCCAGAGGTTTGCATGAAGCAAGTTTTGGTGCTTAGTGAGGTAACATCAAGATTAAAAGCGGGTTTTCATGGAGGTACATCTCATGCTGAACTAGACTGCAGACCTAACCTGCACAGGAGCAACAGGAGAAACATTATGGAGGTTATATGTACCTTGTGTAAATTATGCAAAGAAAAATCTACTTAAATTTGTTTTGTTTTTTACTTTCCCCCCCCTTTACTCTCAAACCACTGAACACTGCCAGAGTTAAAGCTGAAACCACCCAGCACACATTAACTTAAATTTAATTAGTCCAATCTTTTATTGATCATGAATAAGTCTTGATTGATTCATTACTTGCCAGTTTCCTTGGTGACTTTCAGCTCTTCTGATAAATGCCAAAAGCACAAATACAGGTTCATACAGACCTAATGTGTGGAGCACCGCAAGTGCCAAAATTAAATAAATAAATAAATACATGATTAAATAATTATTAAATAATTAATTTATTTAAATGTTAAATAAATAAATAATTTATTAAAAACATAATTAATTTCTTATATATTAAATGTGTGTAATGTGAAAGCCATAAATTATTTATTAAATACAGAATTATAATAATAACAACAATAAATGATGACATTTGTAATTATTGCATAACATATAAATTCATTTTTCCTAAAAAGAACAATTGATTTATTTCACTATTTAATTATTTTAGGCTTACAAAATTACTTAAACTTTCAGAGCATGTGATTGGTTAGCCAGTACAGTCAAGACAGAAAGAGCCCTGATAATGAGTCAATGCAGTGTCACAGTCAGTTGAATAGGTGGTGGTGTGGACTCGTTGCATTTGAAATGAAATTACCAACAGCAAAGGCAGAGGAAAGCAGCTCAAACTGTAAGTAACATTGGGAAATACTGTTCCTGTTTCACCAAATACACAAGATTTTTTGGGGTAAGAGTGTAGTGGGATAATTTTTAAATATCTTGTTGATTTGTTGAGGTAAAGCTTATTTATTAAAGTGCTCCAATATTTTCTATTGCTCCAGAATTAATGTTTTTAATATCTATCCAGCTTAATTCTAAACTCTAGCTGTGAGAATTATGTGTAAATGTATAATGCTTTACAGAGAAATCTACAGAACAATCTGTTGATGAAACAATATTATTTGATATACTGGTGTACCATTTTTTTTACTGCCTTTTTCATAATTAGTCCAGTCATTACACATTAATGGACCTTTTATTCTTAAACATCTTGCCAGATACATGATATATGTTTTAAAAAGACAAATAAGTAGGTCTGTTCTCTGCTATTTTCATTTCATTTCATTCAAATATTATTAAATATTTATTCATGCATACAGTGATTTTTGTGTATTTTGAGGGCTCACGCGCTCATGCTTCACAAGTAAAACTATTTTACAAATGTACATCCAAACCTGAAAAAAATCTACGCACAATTTATTCAGTTCAGCTCATGAATCTGATCATTTCTCATTTCAAAATTCTTTCTGTGTGTACAACTGTCTAAAACCACACCTAACATCTTTCACTCAGTTACAAAGCCTTAAATATATGTGGACGAATCGCTTTATACGTACTTACAGGCACGTTGCATGACCACATGGGGTTTTGAGACAAATTTAAAGCTGTACAATCTACAAATGTAAGATGCATTCAAGTCTAAAAATAATTTAAATAATTATTTAAATGAATGTTTTCTACGATGTATTTTTGTTATTTCATTTTGGCACTCTTGCCACTCCATACCAATTGAGGGTGATCGCTCCACGCAGCTAATATAATTATGCTTTTAAATCATGCTGCATAAATAAATAAGAGCATATTTGAAACGTTTTGCTAAAAGACAACTTTTTTATATAAGTTTTAAAAAAAAAACCCAAAAATAAATAAAATCTTTGTTTACCTGAAAGCAAATTCTAACCCGTGCGCTTTTATTTGAGGTATAGACTTCTACTTCCGGGTCACGTTCCTTACATTTTTTTCTTCTTTCCATTCTTCTAAGCGAAACACAAATACCCCCAAAGCACAAATTGGTCCTTTTTGATAATTTTGTTTTCTTGTTTTCGGTTTGTCGTTACTGACGACAAAGACAAAAGCCGGCCCTGAATTTTCCTTCTCGCTTTAAAACGAAAAAAAACCCCAACTCTCTCTTTTTTTTTTCTTTTTCCATTTTTGGCTCTCAGGAAACAAAAAGCGAGCTGCGCGAACATCGGACCAAACCGCTTTTATTGTGAAACTAACTTCTCCACAGGTATTCTGATTAAAGTTTTGTCGGGTTTGGGGAAAAGTTTTTGTGCCTTTACAGTTTAGCGAGGCTTTATTTGACGAGCTTTTCTGTTATATAGATGCTTTTGAGAAAACTGATGAGAAATGAATGATGTGCGTATTTTTTTTATTTATTTAGTTTTCGTTTTTTAAAGCAAAAACTAAAGTCATCAAAAATCAAGTAGTTTAATAAGCATCAGGTGCAACTAAGCATAATGTGAGATGAGATCTGTGACCATGCTGTCTCACTGTGCAGAAAAGCTGTTTGGAGAATTTGCAAGCATGAGCTACTTCTTGTGTGTGTTTCATGTCCACACTTGTATTGGACCAGTCAGAAACTCTGATTTTATTCCTAAACAGTTTCATCCCTGAGGCATTTATTCATGGGGTTGGGTCTATTGTCTCGCTTGACGACCCACATGTTTCCCTCAACGTGGCATGTTGAATAGAAGCAGCAAAGCACCCCCACGACGGATAACCTCCACCTCCATGCATGTTTTCTTTCAAAGATTCTGTGTTTGGTGGGGGTCGGGACCCCCCACGTCCTCCAAACACTCAAAAGTGTACTGAGTCATAAAGTCAGATAGCTGGCAGTGGTTTTCTTCTTGCTGCAGATAGTAGAGTCATAAACACTGACCTTCGCTAAGGTGAGAGAGGCCTGAGGGACCCTTTGATGGTCACTTGTTGTTGTCTTGCTTTTGGGGGAACTTTGGTAACTTTGCCTGCTGTTTGTAGACAATGGGTTGGTCTGTCTCAAATATTCCGATTTTTAGGTCATTTTCTGCTCACACACCTATGATTTGTCTTAAAATGATTTTTTTTCTCATAAATTTGAACCTTTATAATATTTCCGTTTAAGGTTTAGCTTTGTATACATTTCAGAACTCCTTTTGTTTTTGCACGATTAAATCTGAGGTAATGTTTGAACATGAATCCTGATTCACTTTTTTTATACAAATCAGTAAAAATTTCAGGCTTTCATCTTAAATGATTTTTGAGATATTTATGTTTAAACATTGAGTGATGTATACATTCAAACTTTGGACCATAACGTTTTAGGCTCATCAGAGATGGGCGAGCAGGAGGCCCATGATGATCTTAGATGGAGGGGCCCTAATGCCTCTTACTGTGGGCATGTGGAGGGTCTCAGTGTCTTACAAATGTCTTTGTAACCTTTCATAGACTGATTATTTTAAATAAAACTTCCCCCAGTCACTCAGAAATCCCTGTGATTTTTGTCACAATGTGCTTCTGGTGAGAACTTCTCACCAGAAGTTGTCTAAAGGGCGTCCTTTTGAAAAAAGTCTGTTTACTGAACAGGGCTGTTACCAGTCAGGCCTGGGTGTGTCTTCCAGCTTAGCCAGTCAGATTAAAACAGGTTGGTAGTATTTTGGATTGAGCAGCTAAGTAGGTGTGTGGGTACTTTTTTATTTTTTGTAGTCAAACCGTTTCCTGCCACGTGCAATGTTTTTCTCTGTCTTGCTGTTTATTGCAGGTGATCCCTGCACCCGATTATATTTAGTCGAGCTGTGGGAGGGGGCAGGATCAGGAACAGTAGTCTATAAAACCAGTGGATTTACTCGGGCTCCCATGAGAAGACAGTGAAGGAAGAGCACTCTGTACTTTTCTTCCCCCCTCTCATCAAGGCCACCTGTCTGCCCGGTCCCTCTGGAAACATGTCTAAGGACCTCCAACCAACTGTGGACCCCACGAAGATGGGGGTCGGACGATCCATCGCCGTGCTGACGTCAGGAGGAGACGCTCAGGGTAAGCAGAGGAATGAGGCTTTGCTTTATTTTGAGCATAAAATGATTCTCAGTGGAGGGTGGAAAAACGATCAGACAGCATCTTCTCCTGATGTGTCTGATCACTGAATCCCAGCAAGCTGTTGAAGTCCTAGTTTCTCTTTGTCTCGTGGATGCTAATAGAGTATCATTTTATGCTCTCACTGCACAGCATTTTAAATAAGATCAGAAGCCAGAGAATATAAAGGGCTAGCAACATTTTTTCCAGTGCTGAATGACAGCTGTCAGAGGCTGACGGAGTTTTGGCTGCAAGTGCCATTTGAA